AAAAATAATAATAAAATTTATATTTTTATCAATATTTTTTTTTTCTTTATACTTATTTATTTTTTATAATAATTCCTGTAAAGTATTCGGGGCATCGATCCAAGCTCATTTATACCTAGGGGTAGCGTAGAGTTAGATCCATTCTTATGTCCAACTAAATGGACCACGAAGAAAAAAGAGGCCTCATTGAGTTCAATGGTTGCTGATTGAAGCCGAGCAAGGTAACTCAGTTATTTATTTATTTTTTAATTATAAATTAGAGATCATTTTCTCTTATCTACTAATGAATTTAATCGTGTGCAATGTTTCCTGATTGAAACCCTGTAAGGTAACTTCATTTTAGTTTTTTTTTTTTTTTTTGGGTTTTTTTTATCATAGCCGCAAACCTCTATCATCCTTAATCCACCCAACCAGCCTGCATGCCCGACTCGAACTCATTAGATAATGTACATTCTTTAATGTTTTATTGTATGGGTTGTGATTATTCTATTGTTGATACTCATCTTTGGTCCCATGGAGAATGGCTGTCAGTTTTATGGGTCAATCATGTTAACGAAACCTTGCAAACCTGGGTGATGAAGGAGTATGGTGCGGAAGAGCCTTGGACTCTACTGTCAAGTGTTAGCACAAAAGGTCCCCCATTTCCGACGAGATATGGGGTTAGTGGGTCGATGCTTAGAAATAATGGCCATCTCCGATTCGGTGTAAATTGTTATGGATATATGAATGGGGACATGATTTCACATGACCCAATGGGCCAAGAGACGCTGGTTCTTGAGACTGATGGAAAGCATGCTTGCTATTAAGGATGGCAATTTTCTCTGCGGCCCGTGGAGCTTTGCGGATTTTTCCATCACGGGGATGGAGATTCCGAGAATATTCTTTCTCGTGAGGTAGGGATGAAGGCATTTTTTTCCTTGTGAAATTTCGTGGGAAATTTCTTCCGCCTCGTAAGAAACTGTAGAGGTCCATATAAAATTAAAAAAATTTATTTATATATATATATTTTTAAATATATTAACAATTAATTTTTATTTACTCAACCTAATTAATTGACAAATCTTTTTTTTTTTTTTTCAGTTTTTCCAAACTCAATTATATAGTCCATTTCAACCTATAATCTTCTTAAACTTAATTACCCAAGCCCAACCCGATTTGCTAGTAACCCTAAAACTAAAAGGACTATTTCAAATTTCTGAGATTTGTGAATCTACTCTGCGATTCCTCCTCTCTAGACTCCAGTCTCCTCTCCTCTACGCTGTAGCTCATTGGCTTTGTTTCTATTCTTCAATCTGTCAATTCCCTTCAACCTATCATTCTCAATAACCTTTGAAAGGTAGTGCCCATAGCTCTGTTTATATTCTTCAATTAGCTACTTACAGCTTGCCTGAGCCTGAATTGTGAGTATTTGTGAGTGTCTAAGTATCTATACTTGATGATTTATTTTGAGGTGAAGTAGATCTCATTCTTTTGGCCTTATTATTTCCGATTTCATTTTCCCTCCGATTGTTCATAAGATTGTCAAAATGCGATTTTCATTGTTTACATGCCTGTGCAGCTTCTTTCTCGCATTTGCAGTAAACGATAATCGTATTGTTGTTTTGAGACTCATTCAAGTTATTAATTCATTTTATCTTCAGTTAATTTCTCAAACAAGAAACGAGCATCGAGTTTTATTTGGTGAGCACTCCGAATACCCGTGAGGACCTATCATTCCCCGCGGGTATGGGGATGGAGGCTATTTTTTATCCTCCACCAAAAATCCCCGTGGAGTCCCCGTACCCGTCATTGACGGGGATGGAGATGGGGATGGGGAGAGAGTCCCCGCCCCTGTGGGGACCCGTTGCCATCCCTACTTGCTATTTCCTCCGTGTTTATGTAGAAAGCCAAGTCCTTAAGGATAAAGTAGACGATTTAGTCAGGTGCTTTGGAATTGATTCTTGCAATGAAGATGATGCAAATTGTAGCAGTTCTTCAAGAAAGCAATACCAATCATGGATTCTCTATATACAGAGTTTGACAGGCAACTGGTCATGTCGATCATTTAACAAGTTTCTGCAACTGTCATTTTACAGACATGTTATTTACTCCGTATCCTAAAACATTAACCCTAACATATTGCCATATTTAACAAGTTTCCATGTTTTTTTCAATATCAATCTGTTTTTCAGCTGCCGTTTTGGTTTACCCTCACCATCGCACTAAAATATATTTAGCAAGTATGTTGCATTTTGCTGGTTAATATTCATTCCTGAGATTGATTTTCACTTTTTGAGCTACCCTTTAAAGAAGTTAGTATCGGAATCCTTGATTTTTAACACATGCTATGTAACGTTCAAAGCTAAGCAAAATAAAGAAAGAGCAGCAAAGGGACGAAGCTCTAGTGATGTGGGTTCTCTCGTTAGTTTTGCTCAGTGATAAGTCTAGTGTGTCATAGGCTTCTATTTGTTGAAGTATGGTCTAACTTTTGCTTAATTTCAAATCTTTACTTGATGATAAAGACGTTCTCTCTTGCTATTGAACTGCTGTAAATAAAATGCATTTTTTCTATTCTTTGTGCAGGATTCATGGAAACTAAATGGGTTGACCAAGCTGGGAGCCTCTGGTCTTCTCATCTTTTAACATATCTTATCAAGACTCATGTCTAGTTTGTATGTATGTTGAATGCATCTTTGGCAGACATATTTAGCCATACTAACCAAAGTAAACCTTAGTACATGGGAACCATTTGCCGTTTTATCCAAGTTTGAGTCTGATGTTTGATGTATTGTCCAAATGGCAATTCGGCATGTTATGAGCAGGGAGTTTGAGAACCCTGACAATGAGATTGTTTTGGTTAGACTAAACAACTTCTGCACATAATACTCTATCAAGTATTACAGGTTGATGATTTACATCAAAATTTCTACATTCAGAAAGAATTGGCGACCAAAATAGCTTGCCTGCACCGTGCCTTTGCCTGCTCTAGCCGCTCGCTCAACGTCTCTGGCTTCACTGCTGCCTTTACCATCGCCAAGTCCATCTCCATCAACCTCAAAACCCTTGACAACTCAGTCACCATTCTCTCCTCTACTTTCCCTTCATCTCTTAACACTTCCGCCTCCTCCCTCGCCCTCTCTGCCACTATCTCTCCCGCCTTTGCCAACAGCTCCGTTGATCCAAACTCCCTTCCCATCAACCCCTCCAGCTTCTCCAAGAAGTCCATTATCACCCATCCCTTCGGCTTCTCCAAAGTTATCTGCTTTGTCCTCTTCCACCCAATCTCAAAATTTGGTGGCTCTGCCTTTTCCAGTTCCGTCTTCAATTTTCTTTCCCGGATAATCTCCGATCTTCTGCGCTTCTCAATTGGAAATTTGTCTGTGCTGATCGTTGTATGGGAGCTCGGACTCGGAAAATTGGATTCATCAGGTTGATTGGGAGTTGGGTTGGAGTTTTGAGTGCATTTGATGTGAAAGAATGGAGATTTACGTTGAGGGTCGGGTTTAGATTGCCTTTGGAGTCGATGGAGATGGGTTGGGTGAGTGAGGAAGTGCAGGAGAGAGGAAGCCATGGTATCTGTTACCAGAGTGGAAAGAAGACGATAAAAGATATTTTTTGTTCTGATAAAGATATTTATAATTCATGTACAAAACAATACAAGGTGGAATTGCATAGTGGTCCTTACACTTTTGGCTATGCTACAGTTAGATCGTCACCACTCAAATGTTATTACTTGCTCCTCAAACATAGCAGAGTAAAAGCATATTACAATGGAGGGGGAAATTGTCATACTATGATACAAAATTTCGGGTTTAACCCATAAGAAAGAACCTTCCTTGCTGCCTGACTGATCCACTCAACATGTATTGATGTGTATGCTATTTACAGGAAAGAATGGTGTAGACTATATCATTGGAGGCTTTCTTTGATTCCATGATTTTACAACAAAGAATGGATGAAGCAAGAAAAAAGGACCCATCAAATTTGATCCTGCAGTCGCCCCAACAAACTCTGCATGCTTTCGAATTTCTGACTGAGTTCTCTAATATTGGCAAGGTGCTCTTCAGAACACTCCGAACTAGATGCAGTGGTAATAAGAGCGGCACACTTGGCTTGTGATTCCAAAACTGCCTCCTCGAGTGCAGCTACAGTTGATACTAGAGTTGACTGTGGGGTTTTGTTTGTATGATTTGATCTAGGAGATAGCTCGATTCTGCCAGCACAGCTGCCGCTGCTGAGCTTATCAGCAGAGAAGATCTCATCAAAGCCTTCAGTTCCTGAAACCACCAATTTTATAAGTTATGAAATTCAAGCAAGGTAAGAGTGAGAAGCAGGCATGAAGATACCAAAAGATAGGAAACAAACATCTACTTTACAATGTCTAGCAGTTCATAGCTCTTGTCACCATATTTTCCATCAATTCCTCAGGTAAGGAGGCAGACAAATGAGAATTTAATCTTGTTAATCAAAATATACCAACTTCATTTCTTTAAGGACTTTATTAAAGCAAACATACCAAGTTTGCTAAGCTTATCGATGGCTTCCTTTCCAATTGACTTTTCCAGCTTGAGTAGCCTCAGGAAGCTGGCAGTTAGTCGACCCATCGAGTCAATTTCAGATTTGCCCAAGAGAGCAAGGTGTTGAAGTTCATCCTTGGTCACAATCGCCTCAATCTACAATAAATAAAGAAAAACATCATCAATATTCTTTCTACCAAGAGAATTTGTGATGATAAAATACTTAGATCAGATCATTTTACTGGTTGCTTGACAGAGAATCTCAAGTCTTCCACCATCCAGTTGACCATTTCATCTTCCATATTGTTTTCTGATATCACCAGACGAGCTTCAACATTTACTCCACTACATGTCTCAAAACCTTCTTTAAATCCATTTTCAGATTGGACAGCTTTAAGACTGCCTCTAAGGACCTGAGGCTTCAAAGTTTGCAATCCTTCCACACCAACCTAGAAGCATTCTCACATTAAAATCCATGAAAACAAGCAAGACAAATAAATAAGTTAATTCACAAAAAAAAAAAAAGAGAGGATTCGAACTGATCTTAATAAACAGTTAAAAAGGAATATGGCAGAAGCCATGCGCCTAATCATACCCCTGGATGCCCACCTAGGCTATTCCATATGCTTGTAATAGTCAATTAAATTCAAGAAAATATTTAAAAGCACCTAAGGCTATGCTTCTACATCCATCAGACTTTCTTCTGCTGTTAAAAAGCCTAGAAGGACACAAAGAAATTCTTACCGTGACCAGCTCAACAGGATATTTCTGCATCCTTACTGATTTCTCTATACCATTCAGAACAAGCTTTGGACTGCTTTTTGCTTTTACATGCAAAGTCTGGAAGGTTGTGTGCCAACATCTCTGCTCTCTAGTCAAGTCTTCTTGATTGTCAAACCACCACCTTTTGGCCATTTCTTGCACACCTTCAAGAGCAAATAACCAGTCCTTTAATTCTATGGACACATCAACATCATCTGGCATTCCCAGGTGAAAGAAACTGCTATCTTTCTCACCATCCAAATTTCCACCTGGATGTAAAATTAAAGACAGGTGAAGTTGAAGTATAGAAATGCAAAGAAAAGTTCAATTGCATGAACAAAAAGAAGTTGAACCAATTAAGGAAATATGCATATTAGTGTTTGCTTTATACCCTTTCCTAAATTATCATCGACAAGAGCTGATGGCTTCAAAAGTTTAGCCAGTGGCCCTGCTGATAGATTCTCCAACCCTTTGGAGAGTCCCTCACTAGGACCACCATCAGGCCCAAGTATTCCAAATCGATGCAGCAAAGCTTCTGTGTAATTCATTCCCCCACCCAAGCGAACACCAGATATACAAGCTGACACACTAAAGCTGTGACACCCTTTGTCCAGTTCATTGAAGGGAGTGATATGTACAATGCTTATATCCAGAAAAGGAATCACAAAAGCTTTTCCATTAGATTGATGCTTCTTTTTGTTATCTACCCAAAAGACAGCTCTAAGAGGAGGATATCCATTCAAAGTGACAAGAGAACCATTTTCAACTAAATCTGACAATGTTTTATTATCATGTACAAGGTTTCCCTCAGTGTCTAAACAGTCCAACTCAATGCTCTCCCAAGACAAAGTGGATGAAACAGCAATAGCACCACCAAGAGTTCTATGAGTAACTTTAATGAACAGATCTTTCCCGATAAACTGAGCAAGAGGCATTTCATGGATATTGAAAGAGGATGATTCCAGAAATCTAAGCTGGAGATAATTTACTGCTAAACTAACAGCAGTATCACTAGGAACCTTCTCCATCAACCTTCCATCAAAAGAGTCATTTCCATCTATCTCTGGTCTTCTACTCTTCCCAACTATGGCAATCTTTTCACTTACTTTACCAAAGTATGCATATAGATCCAATACAAAAAATAACTGCTCAACTGACGTATTGGACAAATATTGGTTACATGCAACCCCTATTCTGACAACACCACCAGGAGGAGGAACAATTCTTAATGGGTTCCCATCAGCAGATACCATGGCAACCTCAACAGAAGCATCTTTTAGCTCAACACACCTCCACAAGTCTGGACTACAGCCAACAGAATTCTGAAGTCCAGTTAAGCTACAAGATGTGTCCAAATACAAACAAAGTTGTGATGCTCCAGCCTTCCATTTCTTCTGGCTAGCATCAATAGGTTGACCCTCCCAGAGACAAAAGCAAGCAGGATCTTTCTCCAGGTTCAGTAGCTTGAGTTTTAGTGAAGGTGACTCTGAGAAAAACAAGTTTTTCATACGAAGTCTAGCTCCATCAAAGGACTTTTCAACGGCAAGGTTCCCTTCGCTACCAGGATAATCCAGTTTAGTCTTGTCTAGAGGGACACTGATGTCCAATTCCTTGAGAGTAAATACAAGAGAATTAACTGAAGAATCAGGTAAAACAGTACCAGGATTTACAACTATTCCATCAGCTAAGAAGGAGGATATCCTTAAACAAGATTCTTCCTGAAGATGAATCTGAACAGAGAATGGAGAATCAGAATAAGAATGGAAAAGTTAACGTGACTTGAGGGAAAAAGTTAGCATTTGCCAAAACAGAATACCATAAGTGGCTGGCATTCAATCACTGTCTGTGATGTGAAAGAAGGAGGGAATGGAGAGGGCTTGACTTGAAGAGAGTGAAGGCATACTAGAGGAACACCCACAATTAACTGCCACTTCTGCTCACCTAGTGGATATATTGGAGGGCAAAAATTCTTACCTGTTTGAACACGTAAAGAAGAAGAAAGCATGATCAACCTAACTATTCTTATGAGCATGATTGACTTTTAACATACTAAAAAATCATTTAACATACCAAAATCAGGAATATTCAGACAAGCATCTGTGACAGCTTTCATAGATGGTTGCACTAAAGTACATGGAGGGTGCATGAAGGTATCCCTGCATTTCAAATTACATGATAACATTAGTTAAAGTTAAGTTGCATCTGTGTCTACACAACAAAATGAAAAGCAAGAAGTGCACAACACAAAACAAACTACTTTGTAACAAAAGTGAATTACTGAAGTCACCAGGTTTCTATCACAGTGAATGGCAGGAAATAACATGTGCATAAATGCTTGAACTTAATACAAGAAGAATCTAATAAATGCATTTAACCCCAGGCAGACTTAAACCCCAGGTAAAGTTTACAAAATTATGTACATAAAACTTGATCCTTGGAATGTGAAAATTACCTTAAAAAGAACCCACCAATCATAACCTTAGACAAGTAACTGGTATTTTCTCCGTCAGAGACGCTAGCCTGCAATAAATTTTATAATGGCATAAAAATTAAGATTTTTTTTTTTGGATAACATTAAGATATATGATTTCATATTATCTTGATTTCCTAATTCTTATTACCATCATAACAACAGTGCAAGAAAATTTTAGAAAAAATGTAAGTGTGAAAGACCCAGATTAACAAGTATTTTTGACCAGGAAAGCCAGATATTATCATTAACAAGTTGAATATGTAGCATTAAGGAAAATACCCGAGAGAAACAAAGTGACTGCATCAAAAGTTCAAGCTGGAATTCTGCAAGAAGTTGAAACTGTTGAAAATGTTCTTAACAAAAAGAATGTGATACAAAAAATATTCCATTAGAATTGCTTTAATAATCAAACTACTAATTCAATTACCTATATCAACTGAACACAAAAGAAGAGAAAGCAAACTGTAACATAAACATTAAAATGATACAAACCATCATCTTTAACGCAGAGAAATATGTGGTCCACAATAATAGAAACCAGAGAACGTCCTGCTGCTTCAGCAGATCGCTGTTAAATTACAGTGAAAACAGAAAAAAATTGGTCAGGTCTGTCCAGAACAATTTAACAAGACAATATGGTAACCATGGAAAGGAGTTATAATGGAGAAAATTTAAGACCTGCTGCGCCTTTGGGTCTACATCTCCTCTATTTAGACAGACATACAGTCCCGTAAAGAAGCGGAGAAGAGCTCGAAGTCCTGCTCAAATTGTTGTATAGCAGTTCCAAGCTATATCAGTACCAGGTGCACATTCAAAAATAATGAAGAAAGCAACTAGAAAGAATGATACCTAATTACCTGGTTCACTTAATGATGGACAAACAGCTTCTGTAATATGTAACTGAACCTCAAGGCCTAGTGGACTGTTTAACTCTGTCCTCTGCACTGTGATCTGAGACAAAATTTTGGGGTTAGGATATATCAAGTACCTCATAAAAGAAACTAGAAATCCTATAACACCAAACAGCAGTCAAGAATAAAAGAAAGCAAACCAAGAATCAGATGTCATTTTGAAAATAGATTATTTGCATTACATAAGCCTCTCCTGATATTCCTTCTAAGAAACGTTCTCCACCAAAGAAAACTCGCTTTGCACCATCATCATCTATCTTATTTGCACCCTCTAGCACATCAGCAAACATATCTGGATGAGGCAGGAGATCAACCGATAAAGACTCCCATTCCAGTTTCTGGAAATAAAGAATTTAGCATCATTAGACACTAACTTAAGACAAATACAAAAAGAGACATGAAGCAAATGTGCTTGAAATGAGTCCAATGACAGAGAAATATAATAATAGATAGATGAGTGAGGAAAATCACGTCTATAATGTATTACCTTAAAAACATATATGAAATTCTTGTCAGAGGAGAAATCCCTTGCCTCCTTAAGGTTTACAGCCTGGAGTACGAAACTGTTCAAGTAAATATTTATCCTGAGAAGACAGCTGAGAGATTAAATTACAATTTAAAGTTAAACCACTAAATTACCTGCCAATTTTCATTAGTGGTGTAAAACACAAGGTTGTGCATGGTGATAGAAGCCATGGGTGATGCCCTGAAAACATAATAAAAATAAGAACAACAGTATCCATATGGTGCTTGAAGGAATTGCACAAACATCCATAAAGATTTAGATGATGGTGCAAAGAAACTGTAATCTAAGCAGATTCCCCTCAGCAGTACACAACCAAATAAAGAATGAGAGGACACAGAACTTCAGAACATCATCAGAGATACTGCTAGCAGTTTAGTAACCAAGCACCAACATACAAAGCAAATGCAAGAACTTACCAAGCAGCCCCTTCCCCTCGTTGAGCGCTACCACGAGTTTCAAGTAGAAGATTGGCAGTCTGGACCTGTAGTGTCATTCCATCTGCAATCTGAAAAATTACAACATGTTAATAAATCAATTATACATCCCATTCCATATGGCTCTTGTCAATGGTAGAGATGTGGGACATAAAGATAGATTGCATCAGGCTGAAAGCTCATATAAAACTCTTAGATTATTTGCCATCAGTACACAAACACATAAATAATATGAGACAACATGTCAATTTTTGAATTCTAAAGATCAAACAGTTATATACAACCATAGTAAAGATGGTATCTAACCTTTTCAGCAAACCCATAACCGCTACCCTTTGCAGAGCTAGTGGACGATTGTGTACTACAAATGTAAGAGCAAAGGCATTTGGTTTTTCTTTTATATTTACATATAAACAAACTGTAAGTACTAATGACAAGAAAATTTAGAAATATGATTCTACTTTTAAAACAGAAGCCCATGTTTTGGCTACAAAAACAACCTCAAGGAAGAAAAATTTTACATTACCTGCTTGAGCTCCTAGATGCATCCACATCTGGGTTTTCCTCCAGAACAACATCTAGCCTATCAACTTGCACAATGATTGGCTCGATTTGTACATTGCTAACATATGGCACCTATAGGAGAAATTTAAATTAATTTAGAATGGTAATCACTGAAGAGAGTGGAGTTAAAAAAACCCAGACAATGGCATTATAATACAGTTTTGTTTTCCAAGTAATAAATAATCACCTCCAATATTTGGCTCATTGAAGCTCAATTTTCTACTCCAGACAATAGCATCAAATAAATAAGACCAAACCCCCTTATTTGCACCATGAATGTTATTTTTTTTGCAGTCAACACCCTCCAGAATTTTCACTCCTAGTAAACACTCTTCAAAATTTGACATCCATAAAAAACCCAACAGTTAACAACCAAGCCCCCTATTTGCAACCTGACTTGCACATGACTTGGCCGTTAATGTTGTGGTGTTTACAAGTTCCAAATTATGGAAGGTGTTGAATGGGAATGAAAATTCTAGAGGGTGTTGAACACAGAAAACAATAATGTCCCAGGTGCAAATAGAGGGTTTGGCCAATAAATAAAAGACAAATAATAGGAATTGGTTCAATTGAACAAAACTTCCCAATATTAAGGACATCAAACAAAATGTTAAACATGAAATTCCTTTTATTCTAAGTAATCTCTCAGCAACCAGACAGACTTGTATGATGGTAAATGAAAAAAAAAAAATAATTATCGGTTATTCTAAAAGTTCCATTGAATCACTGAAATAAAAAATTAGCTCATTTTCCCTAGTTTCTCTTCAATGGATAACAAAGCAATATCAAAAAGATAACAAACCATTATTTCCAATTTTCCAACTTTGGCTGTAGTCACGTGCAATGCCGGTGGCAATCCCATGCTGGCATGCAAAGCGTCTCCATTGATATCTACCAAAAAAAAAAAAAAAAAAAAACATGATCAGTCAAACTAAGCAGAAATGAACACAAATTGAGCCGAATTCAGATCCCAACAACGCACCCACCTAAATTTGAAAGCTGTACAGTACGACCCTGAAGCTTGAATTGATCTCTGGAGAAGGATTTAAGCCAGTACTTGAGTGTGTACTCCAATGCTAGCGCCAGTATTGACTCCATTGGCACTTCCCTGAAAGCTCTAGACACTCACTCTGAAGCTCCTAGAAACTTAGACCGCCGTGATTGCATGAAAAAGCCAATGAATTTCTGTTGGAATCAGGAAATGCGTAACCCTAAATTGTGAAAAAAATAATAATAATAATAGTTTGGAGAAGAAATTGGGAGTGGAATTGGCCGTTCTGGAAGCTTTTTTGTATGAGAATTTCTTGCTTTCACCATTTCATGACAGAGAAAGATGAAGAGGCCGGCACGTGCGATGCCTCGGTTTCGCACGTGCGAAGTGAGAGCTGACAGTGGTGCATTGGATCTTGATTTGTCAAAAGAAGGAAAGAATAATTTTTACAAAAAATTCTTTGGTATTATTAGCAATTTTTCCATCTTTAAGGAATGGTAAAGCTTTTTTTTTCATTTGAGAATGCCATATCACGATCTGTTTTTTTGCAAAGAGTATACCTCTAATATCCCTCTATTAGGAATTATTTTCTTTTTACTAATAATGTGTTAGTTTAAATGAAGAAAATTTATTTTTTTAAATAAGATATCAATTTTGAGTTTTATATATAAAGAAATTAGTGTTAAGAGAATTTTTTTTTATGGATCTGATGTAATTTAATTTTGAATTAATTAAAATTTAATGTGATTTCAAATATTAGATGGTTTAATTAAGAAAAAAGGTACCTTTTTGTTTTTATTTTGTTATCTAGATCTTTTTAAAAAATATAGTTAGACTTTATGTATATCAAACTAAGTTTATAAATACTTATAA